GGTGACGGTTGTTTGTGGAGGTGGCCGGATCTGCCCACCAGAGCCCCGGACAGGAAGGGTGGCCTCACACCGGCCTGGCCTCAACTGGACGCGCCAGTCTACAAATAACACTGGGTCTGCACCAAGGCTAGCGGGCGTGTGTAGCGGCCCGGACGATCCTATAAACTACCGCCAGCGGCCGCACCAAGGCTGTGCGATGATACCGTTCGTCAGATACGGCCGGCACCACGTATCTCTGCTGGCTAGATAATATTTAATCGTCAACTGCAAATTCATGCATACAAATCTGAGCGCCAGCCACAGCGGTGAGCGCCATGGCTGAGCGGACTTCGTTGGGTATGCATCAGGAGCCGTGGGAGGCATTAGCAGGGTCCCCGGCGCACCGAACCAGCGGGGCGAGCTCTTTGTGCGCGCGAGGATGTGACGCACACACATGCATACCGTATGGCAGCGAGCTTATACCACCAGCGGCCCACGTCGTTTCTATTTATAGCCCGACCTTTGCAGATACCATTTTAGTATGCGCGGGATTCTCAGTATCAATTTTGCGCATTGAAGTCAGGTGGCCCACGCAGGGGTAATCTGACGCTGCGTAGTCAGCCCGCGCGGCTGCCGTGGGTACCGATGGGGGCGATACGTCCGGCTGTCGCGGGCGCCGTTACGTTGGACTGCCGTGGGGGCCGCTGCATTCTATTTCCATGGGTGTCGGACTCGGTACAATGGACTGCCAGTGCACCGCGACCGCTCATGCCATGGGGTGCCGGTTAATCAGGCTGCCACTGCATCGCTCAGAAATTGACACGGCCTGGCGGTAATTAACCGGACGCTGATGAGTCACGAACTTTGTGTGAGTTGTATTGACGATGACGTCACCGACAGCTGCTAACGCTCACCCTCTCACTCCCCCTCCCTCCCCTGCCTTCGGACCAGGTGCCGGTGTCACGCCTGCACAGTAATGCAAAAGGCACACGGTACGACAATGCACGTCTCTTCACGCGGGCAAAAGAGCTGTTGCGTATTAGGCATGATGAGATGCCAGCTTATTGTTCAAGTTTACGTTCAAAACTTTCATTGCAATGAAATTGCTTTACTACTGAAAGATAAACACGCGTTAATGTTCGAATGACATCTAGGGCTACATCTTTGAATGCCTGGCGTATAGAAAAGTGACGGTTGAATGAAATTATAAACGGGACGTTTATCGTACAATATGGAAAGAGCACCTAATTCAAATAGAATGTACCTTAAAATGCGTCCATGTTATCGGACTATGTGTATAAAACTGACGTGTATTGCGTTGTGCATGGATCCTGGAGCAGCGGGAGTGTTTATTTTTCCGGCCGACCGATCGCTGACATTAAGCTTTGCGGCACCGGCCACGCCAGAATGCATATTAGTGTGGACGTTATCGATGGGCTCGCGTTTGTCGCGGCGCGTCCGCCGGCCGGCTCTGTGGTCATTCATAGCGTGCCGGCCGACCGTGGCGGGACGTTTCTAATTGAATGGGGAATGCCCTGTCAGGTCGACACGCGACACCAACAGGCGAGCCGGGCCGCTTTTACGGCGCCCCTGACGTGCGCTGGCCGACATACGCTGCTGCGCAAATGTCGCAGCTGCGGCACGCGTCTGCCGCGCCGGTTTCGTCACTGTTGACAGAGAGACGCAGAATCAAGGCTACAGAGCTCCGGCGCAGAAAAGACTGGCCAAATTTATTTGACTGGCGCGGGATCGGACCGACAGACGCGCATGCATTTTGGCTAATGCTGATCAAAACTCCGCGATGCCGTCTTCTGTCTCTGTCTCCGTCTGATAGGCTTTTTCGTCATCTGACCGAGCTGATGAGCGACGATCCCCTTGATGCTCGTGTGTCTGATAGTTGCAGGAATGTCTATGTTAGATTTAACCCTACGCCAATATTTTAACTGATATCGTTGTGTACTCGTATGTGGCGGACTAACATAGTTCTTTCCTTCCATTCAGCGATGCCTATACACGATGATCTAACGTGGTTCTCTCCTTCCATTTCAGGGACGTCTATGTCGTAGAAGTAACCACCGAGAGTCAGAGCTTCTGGAACAGCCGCGTGACGGTCAACCTGCTGCCGATGCCGGACAGGTAGGTCCCTCTCAGTCTGACACAGACTTGAAACATCCGTGAACCGCTGGACTGAACCTCGCGGTACCGCGCATCCCGCTGGGACGCTGTCAGCGGGACGTCAGAGAGATGAAGAAATGGCGACACGGCAGGAGCGTGGGCTGGGACCGGCCGGCTAGGTTAAGGAGGCAGCGATTATGCCCGTCATGTTTGTGGTCGCCACCGCCGAGCGTTGCACCGGCCTGTGGTCGACCAGCTGTGGTCGTGCCGCCGTGTTTGTGGTCGTATTCGCGATATGTCCCTAATCTCTTTTTCTCAAGAGGTGATGAATATTGATTGCAGATTGTTACGGTGCACCATTGGAATGTCAATCCATTATTATGTTATATTTAGACCTTTGTTTAGTGGTTCTTCTGGGTACTTGTTACGTCCCAATGCCTTCTTTCTCGGTCCGACCTCCCCAGAGCTCCGTCTACTTAGTCCCCTCCCCGCCTCTTCAGCAGAGGAGCTCTATTCTCCAGTCCTGGTGGCTTTGTGAACTTCACCGTTGAGTGTTTTAACTGGTCCAGTCCGGGAGCATCAGCTGGCCCACCCAGCTAATGGGATTATGTCTGTGTGGCTCCGGTATATATCGGCGACCGCGACAGTTGGAGGTCTTCTCTGACCTGTCACCGGTCAGCGGGGCCGCTATTGACCCTGACAACATGACCTTTCGCTTTCTGGACAGTCCCAATGCAATGCATTCATGGAATCCTAACAAAACAACAGACGGTCCCTGCTGTCCCCCCCCCCCCCGACATCACTGAACTCTCTTTGTACCTCTTTTGATTCGCATCGCTCATCAACTGACAAATCCCTTTTCTGTTTCAGAAAATCGACCGCCGGCAATTTAACCTTGGTAAGTGGCTCTCTGCGTGCGGTTTCTATTTTATCGCTGCGGTGACCGCTGTCAGAGATAGAGGCGACGAACTGCGTCGTTCTGTCGGGTCGGGTCGTCTCGCCACTCGGACATATTGCGTGTCGGTTTGGGTGGGTGGATGGGCGGCGCGGTCCGATCAGCTCCGGGGCCGCCCAATCAGTCATTGCAGACATATCTGGTCTGACCGGGTCGTAAACGGCTGCACTGGAGACTGCGGAGCGACGCTCTGCAGCGCGCAGGTGCTGCCGGGATAGGCGAATCTGCCACACGTTTGGTTTGTTGAGCGTTGCTAGAAAGAGATAAAGTGTACTTAACTATATCTTTCGTATTGTATCACAGTCGGTAACAACGCTTTATCGCTGTCCTTTGATCACAAGGTCTGTGGTCGCGCACCAAAGTGACGAGTGCTTTGGGGTATCCCACCAGATTCCCGTCAAATGTGATTTGTTACGGTTAAATGTGTTTGTTTTCAGATTTTGAAGTCGGCCGTGCCGGTGACCTGGGAGCTGGCTTCGGATGGCTTCTCCGGGGATCTGCTCGTTCTGGTGAGTACTGTGACGTCAGACATGCCCTTTGATACGGAAACCCCCGTTCGGCGTCCTGCAACAGAGCGTCTCTCGGCCTTTTTCAGACGGTTCCAGCGATTTGCCCGGCTCAGGCTCGGTTCACAGGGCTCGGTGTCAGATCGGATGGGCGGTGGCGACAGTTGGATACGGGTGGTCGGGCGCTGCTGCCAACCAAACGCGGTCAATCAGCGGGGGCCGCAGGCGGGAGGGCCATCCCCTGCAACCTCGGCACAACAGACGTAGCGATCGCCGCTGAAATCAATGAAAATGACTGCAACATGTCTGGGGATTTTTGCTGAACTCCAGTCCTCATGGATGAAATTTTAGGCGTTCCGATTCGATAATTAGCAACTGTAATGTAAACTTAATTAAATATTAATTTCAACAGCACTGATTCCTTATTAAAACATGAGATATTCGATTGTCGCCATTTTGATTTTACATTACAAGTCTGACCGCTCATTCCGTCTCAGTCTGGCTGATGGCCATCGGCCGTTCGCCTGGCTGTTAGGCTGACCCGCCGGGCTCGACTGCGCTGCGGAGCCCGGCTCGCTCATTGTCATGGATCGGGCGCAGGCGCGGCCTCCCGCGCTGCCCGGCTCGGCCCGCCGATCAGTGCACGGTTTCGCGGCCGGCACCAGGAATGCGCCGTCGAACGCTGACATGCATTCCGATACGCTGAAGTCAGCGCCGTTATGTGATGGCGGCCGGTCGGCAGCCGGTTCTCGGCTACATAAACGGTACAGAAGGCTGCGGCAGAGATCAGCGGCCGACCGCCGCGCCGCCGAGCCGGAGTATTGACGGCTTGAGTGAGAGCTGCTGTATATCGTTGCTGGAGCTCGTGCTGTCAGTGGAGAATATGGCTCATTGGCAGAAAGTCGTCGAGCAATTTTACTGTCTCTTGTAGCTGGGAAGCGGGGAGGGGGGATGGGCGGGAGGCCATGCGAAGACAGGCCATCCCAGAATGAATGACAGGCAGCGGCTGCTCGGTAGCTCGGCCGGCGCTCGGCGCTACCGCAAAGCCTTGACTCTGGATAATGTTTGAAAATGTACTGAAAGCTGCTCCGCTAAATCAAACAAGTATGTATTGAGTATTGCTATAATGTTTCAAATTAGCAGCCAACTCGTTAGTTATCTGAAGAAACTCAGCCCGGCCTTTGAGTCGGCGGAGCGCTGACTTGCGCTCTCGCCGCCCGCGGTGATCGTCCAACCTCAGCTCACAGTTGGCAGGAGAGTTGCGGGTTCGCGGTCGCCTCGCCCTTTGCAGCGTTGATTTCTGCCAGCTGGCGCCTGCAGAGCGGCGTCGGAGCAGGTTGAACAGCTCAGTCATCGGGTCACTGCAGGGAGGCATTCAGAGCAGTGATCTGCGCGTCAAATGGCAGTGCCCGCCGGCTGCTCGCTCTGGAGAGAGCAACCCTGGCTCAGCCCGGTAGAGGAGGGAGGGAGGAGGCGCCCGCGGCGGCTGCATACCTCTGCACCATTGCTACCGAGCGATTGGTGCCAACGGAGCGGCGGAAAATTTACTCCGCGAATATTAGGGAAGTCCGCGTGGACCATGGAACTCACAACTCGCCGTGCGCTGGAGTGTCCGCATTGGCCGTCCCGCAGCGGACTCCGCCCCGGTGCGGTCAGGCGGAGTCCGTTCCGCCGGTGAGTTTCGCGAGCCCATTTCTCGCTGGCCAGCCCGGCCGGTGCAGTGGGAGCACCGGTCGCCGCCGGGGCCACGGTGACGCTGCACTGAGCGCGCCGCACCGGCAATTAAGGCCACCGCAATCGTGTTTGGTGCCTCTGCAGAGCGCCTGGTGAGCTGTGAGGTCGCGCCGGCCTCGCGCGCAGTGTTTATTTATCCGCCTAGTAACGGGATGAACACCAGATTGGGGGACGTGTATGACAGTGCAGCTCCAGATGCACACACAGATGATGAATTCATGGCGCTCTGACAATGCACGGTCGGTTTTATGGCGTGCTCAGATGGCGGCGGTCCGGCGGACGGCGCTGCTCTGTATACGGCCGTGGTCGCCACCCGTGTAGCACTGTAGATGGCCGATTGTGTCTGCAGAGGGTCGGTAGGTGAGGCGACCGTGATGTAGGTCCGACTCTGCGAGAACCTCACCGGTCCACACCGGCTCATCAGACCGCACTGGACCGTGCCGGCTTGGACCACTACGGGCCGAGCCTGTTCATTTGACCACATTAGACCAGAATGGCTCATGGACTGTGGCTGGCAACACCGGAGATGGTGCTTAGTTCACGGCCTGTGGACTGTGGAGTCGAATCCATGGGAAGCGGGATCCGAGTCACAGACCGCTTCTGACCGCCGTCCGGCGCTCAGACTCAGCTGATGGGGCGTGTGTGGCGTGCTATCCCACACGGCACGGGCCGATTTGTATCTGCCATACCCCGTGCACCCGCGGGAACCCGGCTGACCAGCTCGGTCTAGCCCCGGCCGCGGACCATACGTCCCCGCATGACTCGGGTGTTCTTTTCACTCTGGGCTTCTATAAATCAACAGTTACGGACCCAATTCATGTTTGTGATTGCAGTGCAGGATGAATGTCAGGAGCATTGCTGGAACTGCGGAAAGCTCTGCTACATTCATGCACAAACCTAAGCAATGAGTTGGGTGTCATGGGCCAATTGATTCATTTGACTGTGTGCTTTCTACCCCATTTGTATCAATGGGCGCTCACAGCGCTTACCTAGTGAAAGGCAAATCCAGTAACATTCATATATCTATGTTCTGATGCTCATGATCACTAATTTGTTGTCACTTGACACATTGGGTTGTGACACTTCAATTGCTTAGCTATAAAAATCGGTTCTGCATTGTGGCCCGACCGTCACCCGTTGCCTTGTGGCATCAGTGGTGTGCTATCCCTTCCACTCCATCGCTGACGCCGCTCTCTCTCTCTCTCTCTCTCCTTCTCTCTCTCTCTCTCTCTCTCTCTCTCTCTCTCTCTCTCTCTCTCTCTCTCTCCGTGCCGGGTCACGCAGCGGTCTCCAGCTGGGTCGGCGCGGCTCTCAGTGATCTCTCATTAGCGGCGCGGTGATAGGAATTAGTTTGTATTCGTATGGGACGACCGGCGGCCGATCGCCGGCATGCATGGACTGCCGTCTATGCCGTTATATAACGCTGCAGTTTGACGTGGGCAGCGTTCAAGGCCGCTGGGAGGAGGGCTGACAACAGATGCCGTATGATCTCCAGACAGACCTCTGCGATAGGAGAGACAGGAGGTCCTGCAGTGGTCGTTTTATACTAATTGGCCGGTGACCATTACGCAATGGCCAGGGTGCCCTGTCAAAGTTGCTCAGTATTGATGCGTGCCTGGCATTATGTCTGAACCCGTCACTGACATGGTTCCACTCTTTTTTTAGCTTCATTCATGTCCGAGAAGCCTTTCCTTTTTTATTTAGATACACTGTGCAGCCATCACAAATAACGAAATGAAAAGCACCCGTTTAGTGAGCCATAAACGTAAAACGTTGACCGTGACAAGATTGAACGAAAGGGGAACTTGAAAAGAGATAAACTTTAATATTAAAACTAAGAAATGGATGCACTGTTTGGCAACACAGCAATGATCATGGCATAGCGGCTTCATAAAGCGAAAAGGGCCATCAAGTTTTAGTGGAAGACACTCAAAGCACCGAGGAAATAAAGCATAAAACCCTAGAACTACAATCATAATAGAAATAAATTATTCAACCAAACACGCTCGCTGCGTAAACTGACCCACACATCTCTCGCTGCATGAGCCTCACTACCTCTCCAAGTCGGCTATGTGCGCGTTACCTGCAGAGGCCACGGCAGCAGCGGCGCTGGGCGCTGGCTCTGATGAGGTTCCTGCAGCGGACCCCGCCCCTCTGTGAGCGGCTCATCAGGACCCGCGGCACACACGGACTGGTGCGGAGCCTGCCGAGCTGGCCAGGTGTCCAGTCGGAGCCGGACGTGCCGCCGATCGGCAATCAGCGGTCACGGTCAGCGGTGACAGGTCAGAAGTGACCGATCAACGTTCAATTACGGTCAGTCAGCAGGTAGTTACGACCGACTATGCAATCAGTCAGCGCGGGCCGGTCAGCGATCAGTGACGACCGATCAGTGGTCAGAAGTCAGCGGCCATTAACGACTGGTCAGCTGTCAGTGGTTATCGATCAGCGCCGATCTGTCAGCCGTCAGCGGTCAACGGTGACCTGTCAGCGGGGCTAGTACGCGGCTCACCGCTGACTGCTGAGAGCTCGTCGGCAGTCAGCGGCGCCGGTCGGAGAATGGCGCCGCCTGGAGATGGCGCATGCCTTCGTCTTACGGTGCCGGAATGTTCAAGGTCAATTTATGGACGTGTATGCAAATGGGCGGCCGGGCCGTTGACCCGTGCTGGCCGGCGGCTGGGCCGGGCCGTGCAGCGCTGCCGTGGCCGCGGGCGGCGGACGTACTCGGGCCGCTGATACAGCCCGATCGGACCGGCGCGGCGGGGGCGGGGGCGGGCCGCGCCCGCAGTGTTCCCGGTACCGGCGGCGCAGACCGAGTTCACTGTTCAATTACCGCACCGGATGTGGCGCCGCCGCCGCGCCGGAGAAGCTCCGGCTGGAAGCCCTCAGCCCGCGTCCTGCTGCTGGGACACGTCTTCGAACGGCGCTTCCCGTATCACCGCTTCGGCGAATTTGGCGGCGCCCGTTTGGACGTTGCGTCATACAATTCATGAGGGCAAGAGCGTCCCATTTGTAGTCACCCCGCCGCACGGGGTGCACTTCCTTACCACTGGTGCTTTTAGCCTTTTCATGAATGCGTAATCTCGCCGCGATTGAGTGCCGCTTCTGTGAAATTATGTTTGCGAATTGACCCGTCTCCCGCGGTGGTCGGACGGGCGGACGGCATTTTTGGCGTGTCTGCGACGAGCCGACCGCGCCACGGTCGCCATATTTGTCTCGCGTGGCGGCGTGTCGCGCCCGACACGGCGGTGGTGACGGCGTGGCCGGGCCGTTCCGTCCGTGTCGCCGCCGTTGTGTGGCCCTGTCGATCGCACGGTCGTGCCGCCGCCACAGCACTGCTAATGGTCCAGCCACCTGGCTGTCGGGGGGCTGCAGCCGCCGGCAGGAATACCTACCGCCGACCAACAGGGGGGGGGGGGAGCAGGTCCTCAATTGGATCCAACTCGACCAACTCGGCTCGGTATTAGCCAATTTACACCGACCAACGGCGTGATTGGGAGATTTATGACAAATGCCGGTTATCACAATGCCATCATTTTATTATCACTCCTGGGCTGTGAGTACCGAGTATTGAGCAATCACTTCCTTCTTGCCAGAGTGAAACTAGTTGGCAACAAGATCTCCAAAAATATGACAGATTTATCTTCAGCGTTTGAAACATGACACGATTCCCGGATCAATGCATCGCACACTTATGACCAATCACGTAGCCATGAGCTTTCCCAGAATTGTAACAGAGGTAATAACGTTTACCTGAGTTGTTACTCTCGCGACTCGCTCGGTGCACTGCCTGTTGACCCTCACCCATGACCTGTGACCCTGATCGTGACATGCACCGGTGGACCCATAGACCGTGTACCATGACCTTCGCTTTCATTTCCGACTAGTGACCTGTGATCCTCACCTGTGCCCTGAAACCCGACTATGACCTCTGACCCTCACCGCTGACCCGTATCCCTTACTCTTTATCTTGGCTGGGTCATCTGACCTCTCGCTGACCTGTGACCCTCCTGCTGACCTCCGTACCTGCCGCTGACCTATTTCCGTCACTCCTAACTATTGACCTTTGTCCCTCCCGCTGACATGTGTCCCTCACTCTTGACGGTTGACCTCTAACCCTCCCGCTGACCTGTGTCCCTCACTCCTGACCGTTAACCTCTGACCTCCCTCTGACCTCTCATGTGACCTCTGGCAGACGGAGCGGCCGGTGAAGGAGACCCTCGGCTCCGATGTCGCCGTGGATACCCGCTTCACCCGTCTGCCGGGCTCGTTCACTGCGCTAATGCTGTTCGCCGTGAAATACTCGCACGGACCACCCGTGGCCTATGTCCGGGCCGCCGCCTTCAACGAGCTGGACATCCGACTGAACGGCGGGCAGGTCAGTGGGGGCAGGTCATTGAAGGTCGCAGGGCTGAACGGACTGGCTGAGCGACAGGTCAGGTCACTGAAGGTCACAGGAATGAGAGGATTGGCTGAGAGGCAGGTCAGATCACCAGAGCCACATGGGCTTGGTTGATCGCCGCGGTCGATGATCAACTCTGGCTCGCAGCAATAGCAAACTCACAGTGACACACAAGTTTATCTCCGTGGTCGGATTAGGTAACCCTTTAGCCATGAGTAATTTCAACTCGTCACATATCTGGCTGAATTTGGACCGAAATAGCATCGTCCATCTGCGTCGTGTCATTTCATCTAGTTTAGTGCCGGCCCTGTCGGTGATACCGAACCACCACTCTGGGCGAGATGCCACTTTGCTCAGTTACTCCGAGCCCGGCGCGGCTGGTTTCGGCCGAGTGACCCGGGCGACCCAGAGAGTGCCGCCAAGGCGATCGGGTGCTCTGCAGAAAATCACCGAAACGCTCTATCGCTGGGTGATGTGATAACAACACTGCCGTAGTGGTATGCCAAGGCAGAACGGTGATGATGTGAGGTTGCAGGAAAACGGTGATTTGGGGATGAGTGGTGCATGTATGTTTGTGCTGCTTGGAGTATTCCAAGTCAGGCGGAACGATAACGCGATAGGTATGAAGTTTGTGGGCGGTTCTTGGAGGGTGTCTGGTGGATGGTTTCTCTCACCGGGCTTAGACCGGATCAGTGGAAATCACTGCAGCCGTGCTAACTGGACTGCAATGACGGTGCATGGTAACATTGCTGTTAGTGCAGGCTAGGGTTGTTCAAAAAAACCGAATTTTGGAAAAGTATACGGGCTCATGACTCGTGTGGTGAGGTATTCTTTTCTGAGTCCAACGATGTCCTTTTTTCCGAAAAATATTAACTGCTTCATGCTCCCCAAACGGCTTGAAGAGGAGGATGTTACGCCCGGCGACCGGCCGGTGTCAATAAGGGCGAGAATTCGGTGCCGCGCGCCGGCGGAGGCGCCTTATCGGCACCGCGCGCCACGACATCTACCGGGCGGCCGGCCGACCGGTGTAAGGGAATGAATGAGTGGTCTTCTTTCACATGATAGGGGTGCGCTAGCCCATATTGTCGGAGTGGAAAGTTTCAGTGCAGCATCGGTACCTCTGCCGCAGTGTTCTGTGTCGATGCCCGATGGTTCAGAAAAAAGCCAAGCAGAACTAAGAAAAGACTCAATGCTTCTGGCTAGTTCACTATAAACATCTCGTTTCGAGAATACAGCGCGGCGTTTCACGGCCGCTGCTACCAAGATTGCTGCTACCACGCTGCCGGCAGGCTGACTGACTACATCGTCCGAGTTTGCTGATATCTCCATGGACACCCAATTTGACACGTAGGCTGCTAGCGAGCAGTAATCGCCACGCACTTTGAGAATGTGGATCGATCATGGTTGTTCAATACAAAAGCGCCCGTGAAACAGGACCCAGCTGCCACTCAACATACCATATCGCTTTGTTCATGAGTCAAGACGCGAACTCTGAGCAATAACACAGCTCTTTGCACTGCTGTCGACAACTTACATTGCTTTTAGACGGTGGCTTGCAGCCCACATATGCTGTTGCCAACGGTATGCGAAAATTTGAAGTTTACTAAGAACAGCAGGAGCTGGCAATGTGCAAGGACAGAATATGGAGACCCCGACATCGACGTTAGGTTTAACCTACATTAGCACTTAGCAGTTAAAAAAAGGATGACATGCCCGGGAATGACGCGGTGGCCGCCCTGACATCGTGACGAAGTTGGGTGTGAGTAGAGACAATAGCTGGAGTACACATAATGTCAAGCGCCCATCAATCCAACCCTTCGGGCAGCAGCAGCATCAGCAGCCCGGCCATGTCCACCGATGCCGCTCAAGATCCGATCCAGAGCCGGCAGAGAGCACGGCTCTGCCCTGACCTGACACATATCCCCGGCGTGTCATGACGGACAGACCATTACCTCGCCTGTATAAATACAATGCAGGGCCTCCTCTAACATACCCACTGGGTGGGCAAATGCCCACCCAGTCGCCACAATTGCCCACCCAGTGGCGTCGATTTGCCCACCCAGAAGCAAATGCAAAAATAAAGGTCCGGCCGGACGTCCGGTACTACCTTTCCGGTCTTAAGCAAACTGGATGCTGTTTGAAGGTCAAAAAAAGTTTTCCGGTTGCTCGATATTCAGGAGCGTAGCCAGGATTTCCTCAAGGAGGGGGCTAAACGCACAAGGGCGCAAGATAACCCCCTCAAAATCCAAAAAGCCATCGGGTTGCATCCAATATTTTTTTGGATGGGGCCCAAATAAATGGAAAAAAATATTCATTAACAAACAATGTTAGAACTGAGGGGGTAAGCAGTATATGGGCCCCTGTTAGACAGGCCCACGAATAGCTTCATAGAGTCGCCAGCCGGTTCTGATGGCGGTCTGAGGACCCGTAGGTCGGATGAGGGTTCTTCAGACCGTCACAGGCCCCTATAGCCCATGAGAGCCTCGTAAGCCGTCTGAGGGTCATATAAGCCGTCTAGGGCCACTCAGACCGACAAAAGGCCCCTTGCACTTGCAGAGGCCCAGTCAGGCCGACGTAGGGCCCTCTCAGACAAACTAAGGGCCCGTTCAGGTCATTTGAGGGCCTCCTCAAACCGATAAGGGCCCCTCAAATCGACAGTGGATCCGATCCGAGCTCCCTCAAACCGATATAGGGTCAGACCAACAGTCGGAACGCATTGATTCTGTTTACACACCGTTGGACCCAAGTTGGACCCATCCCATCCAACTGGCCCCCTGGTTTCAATAGGGCCCCAAGGCTCTAAAATTGGGTCTCTCTTGGCCAAAGAATAACTACTCAGCTGTGTCAAAGGATCTGCCTCAGGGCCTTTGCGTCGCTAAGGGCCCACTGTGTCAGTCAGGGGCCCCTATGGAATAAGGACCCCTGGCTTCCAGGAGGGGCCATGGTCCCTTTGGCCCCCTCCTTGGCTATGCCACTGCAGGTGACAAACGTTCTTTCAGACGACCAGGGGGCAGGGGCCCAGGCGACCAGAACCCCAGGTGACCAGGGGCCCCCAGGCGACTAGCTCCCCCCAAGCGACCAGGGGCCCCCTGGGCGACCAGAGGCCCCAGGAAACCGGGGGTCCTCGGATGAGTGCAGGGGCCCATTGGGTAATCAGGGGCACCTCGGGTAACCAGGGCCACAGAAATGAAACTTGAATTGATATAAATTTGCTTCCGAGTAAAATACGTTTTATCCAGTGTTAGAAAAAAATATCCCGGGGCCTGTGGGGCCCCCATGGCGCCTTCTGCGCTCAAGGGAGGGGGCCATTGCCCCCGTGGCCCCTCCCCTTGGCCACGCCCCTGCCGATATTGGAGTTATCAAGTAATTGTCTCGTAAGTGAAAAGGCACGTACAATAAAGGTACAACCCTCTGCAAGCTGCGTGGTAGGTATCTTTTTTCGACAAAACCGAGAATAACGCGAATACGATAACGGTCATTCGGAAATCGTAACAGCAAGACGCGCGAGACTCCGCACCTTAGATTGGGCTTATTTTGGTATACATTTTCCATCTAGTTTGACAACAACACACAAGAGTTTATATTTCCCCCCAAAACAAACTTTTGCTTTTTTGCTACGGTAAGAGTAGGTACACATTGTTCAGTGACTGAATTAATCGAAGGGGTGGAGCATGGCGCATCTATATGCAATGTGTTCCGACCGACTGATAATCATAACCTTTGAGATATTAGGTATCGGTTTTGTCGAAATAAGAATACCTACCACGCAGTTTTTGCGGAGGGCTGCAAGTACAGCCCTCTGCAGACTGCGTGGTAGGTATCCTTTTTTTCGACAAAACCGAGAATAACGCGAATACTATGCTATCGGGCACTCGGAAATCGTAACAGAAAGATGCGCGAGACTCCGCAGCTTAGATTGGCATTATCATCGTATGCATTTTCCATCCAGTTTGGCAACAAAACCCAAAAGTTTATATTTGCCCCCAAAACGAACTTAAACATTTTGTTGCCACACAAGGCGTAGGTATGCTTTGTTTATTGATAGGCCCTATCGAAGGAGTGGAGCATGGCGCATCTATTTGCAGTGAGCTTCGACCGACTGATAACATGACTTTTGAATTATAATCAGTTTTGTCGGAAAAAGAATACCTACCACGCAGTCTGCTGAGGGCTGTACATGTAATCTGGAACGAATCGCTCGAGCATCGCTAACCATAAAACATACGACAAACGTTAACTATCATCTTATTTCCAATAATGGCACAGCTTATTTCGTCTCATCCCCGCACCCCCCCCCCCCCCCCGGTAACAGGTTTTGAAATTGGTTGAACCCCAAAACAAGTGGCTGGATCCGCCCTTGGGCGGGGAAGTGGCGAAAATTTTGCCCACCCAGTGAAAAATCCTTAGAGGAGGCCCTGATACAATGTATACAGTATACCTAACTTACCTATTTCTAAGTCTCATGTTGAGGCAAGAAGTGATCAGCATCCAGTTCTACTTCGACGAAGACTCGTATTCAGACCTGGCAAAGAGAGCACGGCTCTGCCCTGTTTCCGCGGCTTCTAATGGCCACATCGATACGAGACATCTCCAATCGTCTGTTTTACCTAACTACAAAACCAGGTTGTTGTGTTGCGATTAGCACGATACAATTGTTGCGTACAGCGTAGATATTTGTTAAATGCGTAATTAATTAGAAATAGGAAAAGTAAACATTGCCATCGTCATTCGCCAAACAGGCGATGTCAAGCATAAGTCTGTCCGTCATGACACGCCGGGGATGTGTGTCAGGTCAGGGCGGCTCTGCCCTGGGGGATGTGTGACGCGCTCTATGCCGGCTCTGGATTCGGGTCTTGAACGACACCAGCGCGGTGGGCACGGCCGGCTGCCGGTGCCGCTGCTGGATTGAGCGACACAATTGATTTATATGTGTACTCCCGCTATTGTCTCTACTCAATTCGTCACACTGTAAGGGTGGCCAAACTGTCATTCCCAGACATGTTATCTTTTCTTTCGAACTGCTAATCTAAGTAAAACAAACGTCAATCCTTGCAGCTTGATGAATAAACAAAGCGATATGTTACGCTAAGGAGGCAGCTGTATTCTGTAAACGGAATGTTTCGAGTGAATTACCCAGAAGCGTTGAGTCTTTTCTTAGTTCTGTTTGGCTTATTTTCTGAACAATCGACACAGAACAACGCGGCAGAGGTACCGATGCTGCACTGAAACTTTCCGCTCCGACAATATGGGTAGCGCACCCCTATCATGTGAAAGAAGACCACGCATTTTATTCCCTCCCACCACTGGCCGGCCGGCCGCCCGGTAGATGTCGTGGCGCGCGGTGCCGATAAGGCGCCTCCGCCGGCGCGCGGCGGCGAATTCTCGCCCTTACTGACACCGGCCGGCCGCCGGGCGTGACATGGTCCTCTTCAAGCCGTTTGGGGAGCATGAAGCAGTTAATATTTTTCGGAAAAAAGGACATCGTTGGACTCAGAAAAGAATACCTCACCACACGAGCCATGAGCCCGTATACTTTTCCAAAATTCGATTTTTTTGAACAACCCTAGACTATGTAAGGATAGCTCACCTGTTATTTTTTAAGTTTGGCGACATAACGTTGACAAGAATTAACCTGCGCCCCGTGGGGGGGGGGGGTCCGAAGCGGCCCCCCTGTCCTTTTCCGTCGATATCTCCTAAACGGCTGGAAATAGCGCCACCAAACTTTCAGTACCCCTCCGGGCATCAATTTTACACATTGTGACCAATTTTTTCCAGAAACTATGATAGGTTGGCCACAAATGACGTCAGAATGACGTCATGCTCTGCCATTTTCGACCGAAAAAGGACCTTCGCGAGAAGAGCTATCAGGCCTACAGCTTTTAAGATACAAAAAAAAAAAAAATGATAAGACATAAAAGGTGTAAAATTGAATGGGCTGCAAAACTGCTATCTCGGATTTTTGAAATTTTTGAGTTTTGACCCCCAAAAAGCATAACAGTATTTTTTCTATATTAGCCAAAAAATCCAAAAAGTTTTTTGAGTTTCGAAAAACAGGAATATATGTGATAGTACCCATCGTCTTCTATCTACATACCAAATTTCAGATCGATGTCTCGTTTTTTGGCCAAGTTATAGCGAAAAAAAAACTGTTAAAAAATGACGTCAAATTTTCAAACTCAATTTTTTGCAACTTCAGACCACGTAGGGAAAAACAAAGACCACCATTAGACTCCCCATGACGAGCTGCATCGAATCGATACCCATTTTATGCAAAAATATCAACTTCGAAATTTGACCTAATTTGACCTTACCTTGACCTGACCTTCACCAAAACGTGACCTAAGCTGGCCCCAAAGACTGCCTGACTAACCTAATCGCATTTGTCATGTAAAATGGATCATAAAACATGTATCACACGACACTTTCATATTGTGACCCCCCCCCCCAGTGACCTGACCTCTGTGAATTGACCTGGTATCAGTGACCTCAGATAGCAAAGTATGTGTTTGACGAACAATGTACCATCGATGGTTTTCAATAACTTACCAATTTACTCGATTTCACAACACATTTCTTGAAATGCCTGCGAACGGTGAAAATCCGACCTTTGACCTGACCTGTGACGTCATCGGTTTAACCTAGGTCAAGGAAATTTGGTCACGAGGTAGTTCCCCGTAGGGCTATCGAACGCCGTTTGAATTTTGAAAATCGGCCGGTAAATTTCCGAGATCTTGGGGGGGGGGGCCGAAACGCCCTCCCCCCTACGGGTGGTAGGGTCCACCAACGGGTTAGGGTCCACCGCGCCCTCCACCTACGGGGCGCGGGTTAAGTGAATTATTTCTCAGTCAGATATGCCGCGTGAAACTGCGGTGGTGGTGTTTTTGTTTCTGGAAAACCATAGAGCTAGATTCTGTGGGCTCTTATGATATGGACTCGCTCTGAAAGGTTGGATGGAAATTTTAGTGTGTCGACCATGTCGTACTTTGTAGCTAATAACTCACCTCGAATGTGACAGGGGCGGCGTCTCTTTCTTTGAATGAAGACCGAGTAGATAAGCCATATTAGGATTTACCATTGTGACACTCTGGAGATTGGCTACCTGACGACCATCCACAATATTCAGGTCGAACGGTGCCATCTGCTTTCTCATCGTGATTCTGCGAGCGGGACATTTCAATGAATTGACTTTTAAAGGGAAACCGAATGAAACGGCTTGATTTGGTGTCCTCGATCTGTCTTGGCCTTTAAAACAAGAATACCGCAGGATGAAAACTTGCAGCACAAGATATTGTAAAAATGATTATTCTTTGCTGAAACTACTTGCTATAGGTATACCTACAGTCGCTTCTACACTCTACAGTCGCTTACTATGTATAATGGTAAGCGGCTGACTTACAGCAATCTCTACGAATTGGTACTTTTCAGAGGCCCTGAAATCTTTGTCGGTATTGACGGCTTCATGTTTGCCTAACGATAAAACCTACATCATGACATGAGCAGCAGCGATTGACCATTTGCGCGTTGCAAGTGGTGTAAGACTATAATTATGAATTATATATTTAGGTGATGGGCCGTTTCACGCTACTCAACATTGTGGAAAGTGATACACGGCGTAGTTGCGGGGCTGTGGTTACTGGTCTATTTATGTGAGCACCGCTCATTTGCATAATAGATGTCCCGCAGAATGAATCGAGTTAATTTATCATGTCAATGTTAACTGTGGAGATTATACATGTAACACGCTTGAAACGGGACATGAAATGTAATTAAATGTTCATTAGATGGTATATCAGCACAACTAGCTGGTCCCGTTTTCCTTGCCGAAAACGCTCATAATGCAGCCAGCTATTTGTTTATTTTATTAACAAAGTGGTGCAGTTGCACGGACCGGAGCGGCGGGCCGTGCCAACCGGGAGTTCCACAGGGGAACGACGACAGGGGACGGACCTGACAAGAAGGGGCGGCGACACTGGACAAGATCGACACTGTGATAGCGATCGACGGTGAATCTGACATAGGAATGAGAAGTGGACGAAACCGACAGTTCATATACATGAACTACCGATGAAAAGAGCCATTGACGAAGGGAATCTTTGGAACCGGGACTAAAACCCATCTGGGAACCGCAGCGATAGGTGCCAGCGACTCAAATATGAGCTCGGCTCGCACGGTCCTGATTGTGCGGACTTGGACTGAAACATTTGATATGGGACAATCTTGATAAAAAGGCGAGCAAAACACGGTTGACCTTACTTGCAACGTCTGATATGATTAGTCAAGACAGGCGCCTAGGGATGTATCATTTGGGTACATTCATTGTACCTACAATCTACACTCTGCATACCTGCGTCAGAAGTGTACGGATTGCGGATCTGTTTACCTTTTTCAAACGCGTCACGAAGCAGTATGCATGGAAGATTGCGTGCCAAATTAATCAGGCCGTGTTTCGGGGGCTGTGGTGGTACGGCGTGGAATTTTGCATCTGCTGATGGTATGTGAGTCGTAACTTTTATTCCAATCACTAAAACAGTCCCTGTGATTTCCATAGTGTTCTGCGTCGTATTCGTGTGGACGGCGTAATGCTTATACTTGAGGGACAAAGTGCCTATCACTCACGCTCTTCACGCGTTGGAGCACGTCTCTGATACGCCCCGGACAACTGTTACCACAGCGCGTTCCCCACCGCTCCCCGGTCGCCGCTGTTCCTGTCCGTCACCTTCCACTCGGCCGGGGCGGGCGGGCCGCTCGGGCCGACCACGTGGCCCTATATTTACAGCTCCGTCCGTCGGCCGCCACTCGGGCCAGCACGGCGGTACGGCGCTACGGCCGGCGGCCAGCTGCCGCCGGACGGCTGCTCAGAGACCGCTGCGTTTGTTTAATGGCTCGGCGCGATGTGTGGAGAGATAGGAGCAGCATGGCGGGCCGCTGCGAGCCGCGCTCCCCGCCACTCAGGACGTGGTTTATGCGAGAAAATCGAGAATTTTATGTTCGTTTCAGCTCTGCCACTTGTAGAACGATAAACAAGAATGTGGACATAATTCACACCATCCTGTTGCTGAGCCTAAGACCGAAGATTCCATCAGCTGTTTTGCATGACATGTTCTTTGACGTTCACAGTTTCAAGCGTCACGCCTTTTGGAAGTCGGGCAGGCGATGATTAATGTTCGGCAGATGCGGCGTACGCTGTGAAAACGGTCGCTATGGTCGCCGTGGCCCCATCGTGTGTATCGCCATGTTTCTATGACAACTTGGACCATTTGTAGATGTGTGTGTCGCCATGGGCACATCCACTGTCCGGCTATGTCCCGATTTGTAGCATGATGTGCCGGTCAGTAACTTACTTTGTAGCCGTTTTAAGCTAACATTTAACAGTTGTCAGCCGCCTCTCTGCGCTCCCAGTGCCTTCTCAGGTGACCCATGGTGACCTGTGACCTCAGACCTGACCTGTGTGTTCTGTCCCTCAGATGACAAGCTGTCCGAAATCCTGCCGGCGGACGATGCCTCTCGAGTGCCGCTCCGCGAGGCACCAGTTTCGGACGCTTCTCACCCTCCGCCTGGCGACGGCGCAGGTAAGAGCGTGTCAATCTCACCCAAAATGTCAAAAATAAAACAACCCAACAAAGCGGCAGGTCTCATTTTTCCTCACACTCCGTCTCGTGCGGCTACTAAAGAAGTTTCGGTCAATTTTTCACCGTGCCCTAAAACGTTAGCAGGCGTCGGCTTAGCTCAGTGTCTCTACGGGAGGTGTTTTGCAGCCTCGGTGTGGTGGTTTACTCCGTCTGGAACCTTGCACTCATTGAGTCTGTTGCATCACTGTCTGGGACCCGGGTGGTGTCTGCACAGAAGGCGGACCTCTGTTCCCTCCCGGCTCCCGGTCAGACACTCCAGCGGCTGACTGTATCGCTCACGACGGCTTGGTACTGTCGTTTGCGACGGTCGACGAACAGCTGGACAGAGTGAGCTCAAGATTACTAGTGCAGCTCACCGTCGTACCCTCTCAAAGATCTGGGCCGGTTCGACAGTGTGCTAAAACTACACGGCAATCGGTGCAGTGTTTGCCTTGCACTCGGGGCTCGTTTGTGATATTCGGTGGCACACAAAGCCCGGCCGTTCACCGAGACTCCGTACAGTATCTACATCGCTCCCCGCAGTCAGCTGGGACTGATAACCTGCGGGGCCCCACCACCAGAGGCTGGTGCGCACCTCGTGGCCCGCCGCCGGAGGCCACCGAGCCGTATGCAACACAGCTGTGACGAGGATGTCCGCGGGAGACGCTGAGTTAGATCGCCAGTGTGGCTGTTTGTTTAATTAATTAACTCGCTGTTGTGACTTAATACGGGAGATATGGCCAGCGAGCGTCTGACAGTGAGCACACCTGGGGCGGTGCGGGGTGGCGGAAGGATTAGTCAGGCTGTGCGCTCAGCTGGGTGGTCCAGGAAAATCGCCTGTAACATCTGCAGATAGGTTAAACTGGCGTACCTACGGCGACAAGGTAGACGGCAATAGCATATTGTTGCGCGTTTAATTATATTGCTCTATTTCTTGTGTGTCTAAAGTGCTAAACGGTGATTTGTTCCGAGAAATATGCCAGTCCCTCTCCTCTATGTTTCCGGTCAGCTTGGGCAGAACCATTGCTGTCTGTCTCCGTCCATGTCTCCTCTTATTTCGCTTGTCTCTGCCTCTGTCTATGTCTCTGTCTCATATTTCTGTACCTACCCACAAGGATTGGTCAGTTCTGCGTAGGCGCGGCGCCCGGTCAGCTGCGTCGCCCCGTCTCCGTCTCCTGTCTCTGTCTCTGTCTTTGTTTATGTCTCCTCCGTCTCCTTGTCTGACGAGTGCGTCTCCTGTCCCACACAGGCTCGGCGTCTGGCCAGCTGCGGCGCTCCGTGTCCGTCTCCTGCGCGGGCGGCCGTCTGACGGTGGCCGTCCCGTCGTCTGACGCGGATGCCGTCTCTGTGAGTCTCCTGCACCTGGACGACTGGGGCTGCTACTCACACCGGAACGGCACGCATCTGGTGGTCAGCGGGCCCCTGACAGAGTGCGGTACCGGCCAGCGCCGCGACAGGAGCGGAGCCACCGAGTACTTTAACACGGTACGTGACACACAGGAATGCAGAAGTAAGATACAGGGGCGGAAGGAGTTAGGGGTAATAGGATTCATGTATGATACTTAGGACCTACAGCTGGAGGATCAGCATGGTCGTAATACGTGCTGACGTTGGCAGGCGGCAGCCCTCAAGGGTTACAACTCAATGAGATCAAGGCATATCCGTGCAGAAGATGATTTTCTGTTTCATGAACGGATAATTTTCAAAATTAGGCTTAGTATTTCTTAAATCATTTGGAGCTCGTCTCTATCCTTAAGCTCCTAGTCATGCTATGTGGCTTTCGAACTACTCAGCAACTCACGCCAGATATAGGTAATGAAAGGAAATGTGGATTGTGCAAAAGAAGTATTGTGCTGGGATAAGAAGCGCAATCATTTCTCTCCCAGTTAAGGCTACGACGTCAAGCCTATGTGTCAATGACACTGTTTCAAATATACCTACTGTAAAATTGATGGCCTGCAAACGGCTGTCCGTCCGATCGGGCCGAGCTATATTAATCGAGTGCAACGCTGTCTATTTACGGCAACACGGTGGCTGATATCATTAGCATTAGACGCGGCATATGCCGGCTGCTGACACGTGGACACGGTGACACGTGGATACGGTGACACTTGTGACACGTGTGACACGTGTGACACGTGTGACGGGTGTGACACGTGTCACATGGCTGATGAGCGGGGATACTAGGGGGAATGTGAGATGTGATAGAAATGAACGGACAGAGGAGACCTGAATGTCCTTTTTGTGCAGTGTAGATATAGTCGGTACACTTTGGATGCAGCATTGCAGAATGAAGGTTCATCCCGTAAAGGCCTGGCTACACTACGCGTTTTTTTGCGTGCGTTTTTTGTGGGTTTGCGTTTTTTGTGTAATATCGTTCTAGAAAAAAAAAGTTATAAATAATATAACTTTTACATTAGTTACATAAGAAGTTAACATAACTCTTATATTAACTAAAATGCAAGATAAAAAACATCACAAAAACGTAATGTCGTTTATTTTTCTAGAACGATGTTACGCAAAAACCGCAAACCCGCAAAAAACGCACGCCCGGAAACGCATAGTGTAGTCAGGCCTTTACAGTTGTTTGTAATAATTGTTGTGTATTGGGTATCGTCGAAGAAATATATAACGCAGCTACCCGAATTCTGCTATCGCATGCATGACAGACGGGGATTTATTCGACATATCAGCCAATAAAAGTGAAATCTGATTCAGTCTGTCGGGTTCATTGGGTACACGGTGAAAATATTGTCGTGGCAGCAAAGCATCGTTAGGAACGGTGTCGGTTTGTTTATTCAATTGACAGCAAAACACGTTTTATACATCAGCGTACGACAAGAAACAGCCAGGTAATAGTTTCCAGTGATTACCTATTACAGAGCATAGTTACATTGTTTTGCTCTTCGAGGATAAGTCCATTCAGTATTTGGTATAGATGACTCATTCGTTCCAAGGGCAGCACTGGACAGATAAATTCGATTTTGTCAGCTGATGAGTTATGTCCTCGAATCGGTTGATCGGGCCACTCATGCTGTCTTTTTGCAGCAGAGAGCCATTTTCGCTCAGTCACTTGAGCGCACGTTTCGCAGAACGTATCGATAAACATGCCGTGCGATGATTGAAATGTTTGCCGATCGGTGTTTTGACACAGAGGGCGTATCGATGTTAGTGCCGCGCCGAGCACTTAGTGTGACATGGTCCAGAGGTGCACTCTGTACCCTGAGCTGACATCAGAGGCGCGCAGAGGGGCAACGCACTGCCGGGCACGTGATCGGCCGCGGACGGCAGGCGCCCGCCACGTGACCTTTAGCCCCCGGGAGAGGTGCGTTTGTCTTCCGCGTACTTTTGCGAAGTTGCAATGTCCTGCGTAGTGCTCTACAATTTGCTCTGGCAGTGTAGTGTGCTTCCTTATTAGGAGCCTACGTAGGGGGCTCGTTGAACCAGAAAGGCGGAAAGAACAATGAGACAAGTCAAATAAGACGAGTTACGCCGTTATTCTGGCTTCTGGGTAAGGAAGATGCCAGAAGTTTTGCATCCCTTTACCACTAGTTAGAAGTGAAAATACAATTGAAAACATTATCCACGAGTTAGAAGTTAAAATACAATTGAAAACATTATTTATTTTTAGTGCTATTTTTGCATCTCCCTCTGTGCTGTGCTCTAGCCTGGCGTGTTTCTCGGGCGCTAGTGATTGGTAGCCTTGTTAACATAGCGGAGGCTGGCTGAACGGGACGGCCAGACACGGGGCTGACGTATTGTGATGTGTGAGGGTCGCGAGACACGCGGTCGACAGGCTCGGTGCCCTGGTCGCCGTACAGTGTGCCAGTGGTGACCTGCCGGGGCTGGTCCGAGTGCAGTACTGCAGTAGTGCTGTAACGGTGCCTATCCAATGTGTCCCAATGGACTTATGGGGAAAATGCGGAAATACAGCGGCGTATAGCGGTCTCGGCTTGGATGGAAATGGAATGCGGGGCAATGGTTCTGCATATTGAAAGCTATACCCGTGCCTTACCGGAACGATGTTTTGGTTCGGTATGGTGCTTGTATTTGCTAAACTTGACCAGACATATATGATTTCAAGCTTTTACGACTAGACATTACAAGGTAGGAACGTTTTTCGGCTACTAGTCGTTTATTGTTTTCGTTTCTCGTTATTGTTTTCGTTATTGTTTTCCCACGAAAACAATAAACGACTAGTAGCCGAAAAACGTTCCTACCTTGACCAGACATATTTTGCATGCCGCTTATTCCCGGCGTTGCACTTTCTCCATGATGGTATATGTGAGCATTAAAATGTCGTTCATCTGTACGGCACCTACCTGCTCCGAGGCGCAGTGAAGGTAACGTCCGAAAGGCACGATATGCCTCAGAGTAAACGCCATAGGCTCCGGCTAAATATAGGCATCCACAGCTGCAAACGTTTGCACATTCCAGCTGTGGGTTCATAAGCTCTTACACAGCCTCAAATAACCAACACTCTGTCCTAAGCATTCATTGCAAACCTATCAACACGAATGTGCAGCCTTTCATTTCTCCCTGAATCTTTGCCTGATAGCTTCATGCCGTCTTGGCTTCGACAGGTGCTGCTATGTAACAGTAGATCCGGCAGTGGATACGGGGCATTAGGTTGGCAGCGTGCATCTATCGGATTCTGGACGCTAATGGCATTCTACCGGTTTTCCCAGAAATACCTACGCTGTCTTCCCACGCTGTCAATAAGGCACTTACAGCATTAGCGGCTATTTTCTCACAGCTATTACGGGAGCGGGCGTGCACGGCGCTCGGAGCCGCGTAATGGCCGCACTTTCGGAGTACTACACAGTGACTGAGGCAATCCACCTGGTAGTGAAGAGCTGTTCACTGCTGCCGGTCGGGAGCACGGCGTGTGATATTGGGCTGTTCCTTCTGAACTAAAAAACATTAGATTAACAAGGGATTTCGTGTCAACGTTCTGCTTTGTACAGTGTACACAGCAATATGCCTTATAAATCTACATACCCTTTTTGGGTATGAAAACGGCAGAGCATGACGATGTTACACACTGTCTAAAAAAGATATAACACTAGCAACTGAACCGTCAAGGCTCAAGGCTGTGATCTTCAGCCTGCTCTAAAAGTCGTAACTCAGTGCAGGCTTAGTTCGCTTTGCTCCCACTCCGTCCCGACTATGACCCATTCTCTGACTCTGCGGTCCGACTATGACTCATTCTCTGGCTCTGCGGTCCGACTATGACTCACTCTCTGACTCTCCGGTCTCCGTTTCAGGTCCATTTCGTGGCGGCCCCTCTGCCGGAGGATGACGAGGATTTCGAGGGCTCCGGAGCCGGAATTGGCGGCGGCGACGGCTCCCTCAGCTCCTGGCCGAGGCCACAGCGGACCAGCGGAGGCTCGGTGCCGCTCAGCTGCATACCGCCGCAGGCAGAGCAGCCCAACGCCGACCAGGTGCGAGCGCCTTCAGCGGTGGGTCCAACGAGACCTGCCAGAGCGTGTGCGGCTATTTTATTATTGGTATTTTTTTTTTTTGTCATAGGTACGCATGCGTTTTGAACTACGAAGTTCGCTAAATTAACCACAAGCTATACCTGTAGAGGGCATTGATAATAAAATGATATACTTGAAAGTGCTTAAAATACTTTTGGGCGGCACTCCCACATCATCCAAAGGTGGCCCGTCACAGAGCTTTCAGATCAGGTACCGGAATTATGTTGACCCGTCTTGACGTGACCTGTGACGTCAGCGGCTGACTGCCACAGTCACATACCTATCGTGCCATCCATAGTGTGCCGTTCAGCACTCTCTGTGCATCCACAAAATCACTCGGCATGCATCCACTACATCGCTATTTATGCATCCGGTATGTCACTCAGTTTGCGGTATGCCACTGTACCCCACAGCTCGTGTTTAAGTCCGACAAGGCCACCGCCCGTGCCGGTCCGCTCGCTCCGTGCATCCTCGTTCCTCAAGTGACGTCAGCGACTCCGCGTTCTTACAGGACGTCACGCTGGACATTGACGAGGTGGGCGCAACCATGTACGACCTGGAGCTGGCCAGCGACCCGCAGTTTGCCCGGCCCGTCGAGCCCAACGTTCAGGTGGCCGTCTCCGAGACCGTCTACATCAGGGCCACCCTCTTCATGGGTGAGTGAACAAGTCGTGATCCAGGCGCGTGCATTGGACTGATCTGAATATCGTTGTTTCGTGACAGGTTGGGATTTTCCTGAACTGCTTGCGCTATGTTTAATAATGAGCTGCTTAACGAGTTTCCTTTTTATTGTTGAGTTACCTCGATATGGGTTTTCAAGCCACGATTTCTGTTGTTAGAATGTGATTTTTGCTGCTGGTGCAGCGTATCTGCACGTTATAAAATGCCTACACTGGCGCTGTAAATCCAAGTAATGCGCTACGCCGATAACTTAATAATGTTTTCTTGCAGACCGGGCAATGGCTTATCTAGACGAATTAGCCTGACCTGTCTCTCCCCCATTTCGTCATACCGACTTGACCTGACCTGCTCTCCTGACCTGACCTGACCTGACCTGACCTGACCTGACTGGTCTGCTCAGCGCCGTACCTGGTGCCGGTGGCGGAGCAGTGTTGGGCGAGCGGGGCGGCCTCGCCGGCCTCTGCGGCCGCCTCTGCTCAGGTGACCCTGGTGGACGGCGCGTGTCCGGCCCGCTCGACGGTGACCCGACTGACGGGTCGCGACACCTCCTCCCCGGCGGCTGTCTACAGGGTCCAGGTGAGAGTCCACAGGGCACCGCACTCCGGCCACAGGGCATCGCTCACCGGCCATCGGCTTCGGCCGCGGCGGGCGGCACGAAAACACGCCGAGTAATTGTGCAAAAGTTTTTAGATTGTGGCGAAAAAAGCAGTGCATGCTACACATGAATGTAGTTATCCCTACAGGCCTCTGCGGAATGCGGGTTATAGGGCTTACGCTGGGATTTTTACTGCACGAATACCGTTTGCAATTTGGCCAACGGATATTCAAGGTCTTTGCCTTGGTAGAGGTCGGTATTTTCAAGTGTAATGGAGTCAAATTCGACCGTTATGGAACTGACAGCCAGTGTCCTTCAGGCTCAAGAGGAAAACACATTGCTCGTGAACTTTGTGCGTGTTTTAAGGAGTTCATAGCTTATTATTCAGGCATTTTCTGGCTAGGTGCAACATGGTGCAACGTTAGCTACGTTCTTTACTGTAATTAGCAACGAACTCCAGATTTTCTCTGGTTGCCTTTGTTGTTAAAGGGATCTGAAATTCATTTGGCGAGCGATATGGCCTAACCCGTCCCTTCATCCGGTTACCAGTAACTGAGGCACAGTTGGGCTAACTTGACTTGACCCTACTCCTTTTCCCCTTTTGCCCGCAGGTGACCCGCGAGTTCGCCGCCCTGGGACCATACTACCTCCACTGCCGGATCGGCGTCTGCGCCACCCCCGACTCCCCGGCCCGGCAGCACATTGTGCAGGTGAGTGCAGCGCCGCCCCGCGGCCACCCGCCGAACTAACCGGGGTCGTGCTGACGGCGCACCGCGGCTGCGGCACAGAGTCGCCGCCCGACCGACGACATGGAAAGTCCATTATGATTTGCAGCTGATGCGGACTGAAAATATCACTTCGATGATGTGCGGACGGGTGATTTCTCGGGAGCGGTAGTTCTTTAAATGTTTGGGGCGCCGGCGGCATCCTACTGTGGATACCGCTGGGGCTATGTTCGACAAATGGGGACCAGTGCTGAACTGGACCCCAGCCAATGTCGGCGCCAAGACAGGATGTTGTCGAGGACTATCGTTCATAGGAAACTGCACCATCCAGTCATTCAGTGACCTACAAAATGTATCGCGGCATTGTACTAACTTTGCTAGGATTTTGGAGCGGGACCACATGATCCGTCCCTTGACTGATGAAGGATCCGTCTCTTATTTTCTTCCCTTTCTTCCTTTTCTAACAGTTGATCTTCTGTTCTCAGTGTCTTGAGGACCCGGTGGGTCACTGCTCGGCCGCTGGCGTGGCGTCCCAGACCTCAGGACGGCGTTTGGCCTCAGGACTACAGGTCATCAGCAAAGGACCCTTCTTCACCTCACTGTCAGGTTAGTGGCCGGGGGAAGCGCTGTGACCGGTTATGAGTCTGGGCTATCAGCGTCGCTAAAACATGACCCTTTGGCAGTCGACACTGTCAGAGGACGCCTTGAGACTAAGGAAGTTAACTAGGCTGTCATACTATTGCTGCATACTCCTTGGTCAATCTCAGTTACTGGATCAAATACAGACAAGTAGCCGAACTGTGGATCATTAATTTCCAAAACCTTTGCGATCAGCCCGGTTAGGTTCGTGGAGAATTGTTCAATAGAAAAACAGCTGTCAGGTCATCAAAGCCATCTAGTCGAGATATCCCGAGCCAACGCAAAACATCATCTATCACACTGAGATGTATCTCAAGGTCTGTGAGGCATTGAGAATGATACGTCCAAGCTGCTGGAGGGCTGTTTGTTTTGCGATTATGTGTAGGTCCGGAGTTCGTGACGAGGCCCCGTTTGTTTACTATTGACCACCCTTGCACAACCGTGCGGATGTTGTGTTTTCGTTGTTGTGCATTCATGCAGCGAGCGTGCTGACTGGCTGATGACTAAGGCTGGTCACCGAAAACTGGTAGCAGTAGTTTTATCGCCTATTACATGTGAACGCCAATAGACACGAGCAGGATTCATGAGGAAAGTTCGATGAATCTGCGTTAGCTCGACTTGGTTTTGCAGTGATCCCAACAGTAGGATCTAGGATCATTTCGCTAGCAACAAGAACGGCTAGCAATAGCTTTTCCCTGCTATTCGCCCACGTACCTACGCTTGATAAAAACAGGTGAAGCCGTCTACCGGTTCCTTCTCACATCGCACTGACACGGGCTTACGGACCACCACAAGAAGTTTTATGGTGGCATGAGTTCCTCCGAGCTGTGTGGCTTAGGTACTCCAGTTGCCCTGACGACACGGAACACTGGCGTGCCGGTTCGGGGAGCAGCCGTACTACCGGTGTTACAAGTCTTATCCAGTGAGACGATTCCTGGCCGCCTGGCCTCACCTGGCTCGGGAGAAATAAAGCTCTGTACAGCTGTGGTGCAGGTGTTTGGCCAGGTTCCCGGTGTGTGGATTACTGTGTGATGGTACACGTCAACACCACGACCTTGGCTTGGTCTGCATAGCTGCTTATCACCGAGTCTGGTCCGATCTACGACACGCATCAAGTTCTTGCGCATGGACTGTCTGCATAGCTCACCACTTGCTATATCATATCCATTATCCACCCACCTCTAGAACCGCTAGAACGATATTCCCAGTAAATATACGACTGGTCCACTGTCAGCTTCAGGTTTAATCGACCGATATGCTCCCCTCTGACTTTTGACCCAACTGACACGTACTTTACCCCTGTGTATTACAGCGGACAGCGACGGGGACGGGGACGCCGCCGGTCGGCGTCCGCTGCCTCCGATGGGGGTGTCGCACGAGACGGTGGCCGGTATCGGGGTAGCGGCCTTTCTGCTGGGAGTGCTGCTCATGGGCGGCGTGTGGCTCATACACACCAAAATCGGTACGTGGAGGGATCGGGGGTATGGCGCTTAGTCTTTACCTGGATGTACAGACTACTAAAGGGGAGGTAGGGTGTTGCACCGTCGCTATGCTCTTACATCTGAACTGTTTTCCCGATGTACAGGGTGATCGAAAAAAAGTGTCACCCCTAACTTAAAATCTACATAACTCGCGACTGGTAGGTCGGATTACTTCGCGCCAGGCAGCATCGGAAAGAGCAGGCAATTTTTTTTTTCTCAATTGAATGTATTCATGATTGTTTTCTATTCCAAATCATGTCCCCAGACCCCATGGGCTCAAAAACCAGTCAATGTGCGGCTTTCACGTGAAACGAAATTCACCGAACGGGAACGGACACCGCTGAACGAGAACAATGAGTATCGTAACTCAACATGACACATACCTTACACATTACACATAGAGTGTATGTATGTTGTTCACTGCAGACTGTTTCTCAGCTAACCTTAGACTCGTTTCTCAGCTGACCTTAGGCAAGGCAGACTTTATCAGATCTTCCTTGCAAACATGCGGCCTCATTATTCACAAATTCGCCGGTAACTAGCGAAACATTGCGACAACCTGCACTACCGGATTATCAATTTTATGCAGCGGTAACCATGGAACAGTTAAGAAAAATGCTCACGTGAGCTGTCACGTGAGCTGTCAAATCAAAAACTCTGTCAAAAGTACAAATTCGCACAACCAAACTTTTGAACACGCCAAATTGCGTCCTTAACATACTTTTTGAATAGCTACATCTTCGTTTGCGGCATAAACCATGCATATTTACATCCATTCGAAAGGAAATTGTATGCTCTTTCTTATGCTGCCTGGCGCAAAGTCGCACGACCAACCAATCGCGAGTTATATGGCTTTTAGATTAGGGGTGACACTTTTTTTCGATCACCCTGTAGAAGAAGAATATCACGTTTTGTCGGTTCGCTCTATAGCGGTCCTTGTGTAAGATGTGACGTTTGGTAGTAGGTATGTAGGTACTGGTGTCGGTCATAGGCCGTAAGTATGTCTAAAAAGCCAACTGAGTGCCAATTATATAACCTGAGTCGGTCTTTTGCGGTAGGTAGGTGTGTCACCGCTGATGGCCCGTCTAAAATATAGCTCCCTGCTGTGCTTGACACTCCCCTGCGGGTGCCACACTTAGAGAGCAGTGATGGCATCAACAGTCACGAGAGCACTCCAGCAGGCTCTGAGCTCTGCCTTTTTATTGGAGTTAATCGGATTACTTTGATGCCACCCAGATGGCCATTAAGCAGCGAGCCCAGCGTTATCGCTCACGGCCGTCGATTTACGTTAGGTGGCTGATATCGCTGATTCAGAGAAGTTAGCCAGAATGATGACTGAAATTCTGAGAACACGTCTAGCCGGAGTCGGCTATTTTTAACGTATAAATCTCTCTGGGCTGCTGACAGATGCTGTCAGGATGAATGATTCATTTCTGACTGAGATCCTAGTCCCACGTCGGCTTTTCCTTTGAGCCTGCTCTGCTCATGGATTAAGAACTTTTGACAAAATCCACCTGGGCTGTTGCCAGGTATAGAAACTGAAATACTAGCCCCTGCACGGTGTATGTCATTACCTACATCGTTGTTTCGTGTTAGCGGATTAAAGAACTTAGTTGCTTCATCCCTCATCGTCGTTTTGTGCCCTAGGTACCAATTCAATTCATTCAGTTACAATTCTGCCCTATTGTTGATGTTATTGTCTCGCTATCCCCGTTGCCTCGATCCCTAAGCATACCCCTGTCGCCCTGAGGCTGACCACCCCCCCCCCCCTCTCCCCCGTGTTGCAGGTCCGACGAAGCGGCACCACTTCCAGGCAGTGCCGCAGAATCCCGGTCTGGAGCCGGTGGGCGGCAGTGCTGGCGGGGGCGGCGGCGGCGGCGGCGGCGGCGGCCAGTCGGCCAACTCGACGCCCAACTCGCAGACGCCCATCATCCTGGCGGGCCGCGCGGCGCCGCCAGCCGTCGGGGTCTAGCCGCCGCCAGCCGCGCTCCACCGCGCTCCACCCAAGACATCCACAGTACAAATGTTGTTACCTCAGCAAGTTTGGTTTGTTCCTATCTGTTCTCTGCCATTCACAGTCATTGCGAGAGCCGCCCTGCGTCGGGGCGTTGGCGCCTGGCGGGCCGAGCACCCGGGTACGGCCAGCGCGAGCTCCAGGGGAGCGACTCTAGCGCCGCCACGCGGCCGGACGCAGTACTTACCACCTGTCGATAGACGCGTTTACATAGGGTTTGTTGCAAGCTTATATCTCCGTCCGTGATGTTGCAAAATATGCCAATGGTGCTGAACAATTTACAAAATGATCCCCTCTAAATATTTGAAGACCACTGCATCGAAATTATCGCCAAATTAACGAGCTAGAGCCTCGTCAAATATGCTATGTAAACCGGGTTAGAGTGTGAGCTTGATCACGTGACCTGAGGGTGGGGCCTGACACACCGCAGGGGGCTGGGGAGGAAGAGGGTCGTAGAATGCAGCGCCCAGTATCTGAGGGCGACCGTTTAGCGGGAGGGGGGGGGGGGTCTTAGTGTGCGACCAGATGCATATGCGGAGTGCCGAGCTCCCGCTCTGCGCCTGAGCCGCGCTGGTCAAGAAGATCAGTGCGCAGTTGTATTTGTGCATTTCACGTGCGTGGCGTGGGTAGTACGCGAGCCGTTGTGTAGAGTTGTTGGACGTGAGACTGAGTACCTGGAGTGGCCGTGCGCGACGCGATTTAATCACGGTCGTTACTAGGGGCGCGGAGGTCTGGCGCTCGAGCCACACGGGTACCGTCGCACGGGACGGAGGGCGGGGCGCCCCCTGCAGAGTAGGGCCGCGCGCCGCCGCTAGAGGACGGACAGTTTAGTTGGCCGGCCCGTGGGTGGTCGTTTTAGTAGGCAGTCTCAGCCGGGACCGTAGGCGGGTGGGCCTGTGATGCCATTAATCACATACGTAATCGGTGACCATATCTGAGGGAATTTCGGCGGCCTGTCGCGATCCCGCTCCGCTGGAGGAGCCATCCGTTGACCCTCCGTGCCCTGGACGGTCCGGATCGGAAGTGCTGCTCAACTAGCGGCCGCCCTCTTGGAGAGGAGTTAGAATGCACATATCTCGGTCGAGCTGGCTGGAGGTTGGAGGGGCGAACCGCCGGGTCTAGTTAACCGCTCGGACGCTGCGCGAACGGTGCTTCCATGCTATCCTACCACCTACCTACCTATCGTCTAACCAGGGGCGCGTTGACTGTTTACCTCCCGCTATCGCGCTGCGCTGCGCTGCTGGCTCGGTATCGCGATTTGCTCACGTCTTCTTGTATGTTACGATCTGCGCGGCGGGCGTTCTCCACAAGGGGGGGGGGGGCTGTCAGTCATTATTCGTTCTGCGTCTGTGTTGGTGTCGCTCTCAATTGCAGAGGCCGAACGCCATAGGGAGTTGTCAGCTCCCATGTCCTTATTCTGGGCTACCTTGTCTCCGCCAAATACGTACTCTGTCCAGGGCATCCCCGTAGAGCCGGCATTTACTGAATAATGGTGTCGCTGCTAGAATATCGTGACCTCCTATGCTTTTACAATGCTCTTGTTGGTTTTAATCCTTGCTTGTTGAAGGAAATCACTTATTGGAAGTGATGTAGGCCGGTATACCTCCATAATGTTCGTAAAAGGCATACCTCCGGTAGCAATGGTTGAATTTTTATTGTGTATGATGTCCCCGTTTTGTTCACTGTACATTATGGCAGTGAATCGCATAAGAATATGTCAATGCGAATCAAGTTTTTAAAAGGGTTTACACCGAAAATGGCATGAAGTTTATTGTTTTGTCACCTTTTGACGCAAAGATCATCCTATTAGACATGGACACTTCAATTCGGTAGTTGTAGTGTTCAATATGATTCTTTTTGGAAGAATGCAGGTTTTGTTTTAGTGGTTGCAACGTAATTTGTTGAAGCACGTCGATTTAATTATTTGAATTCCCAGCCTTTGTACAAGGTCAGTTTTGATCTTATCTTTACGTACGTACTACGTATACCTCCTCTGGGTCCGTGAGAAGTGTGAGAAGGAGTTTACTCCTGGGTAGGGTACCTCTGTGTACGGCCGTCGTGACCTCAATCAGCCCCAGCTTCTCACTCGTTTGCTACCGCCGCTGCACCCTGGCCGACTCTCGTCAATGCCTGGACCATCTCGGCTTGCCCTGGCCTCGCCCCGGTGTGACCTGGTGCGACCGAGCCGCCCGACGCGAGCTTGTGGAGCGGGGATGGGATTCGCTCAGCCTCGGCACTCTGCGCGGCCGTGCGGTCCAACAGGCAGCACGCGCGTGCCTGGGAACTCGGCTCACGCGCCGCGCACGGCCGCATCTGGGCCAAGGTCCACCGCGCTGGGTTTCCGTGAGCCGCGGCCAGTGTGGCCGCCGGGCCGGCTCTCTGGAGCGTGAGCCGACGCCGGGCGCCGGATGACGACGGGCCCGGCCCAGAGCAGGTACAAACCGTTCCCCAGCGCGCTACCCCGGACCCGGTCGGGCTGGTGGCTCTCCAAGAGCCGCAACTCGCGTATGGAGCGCGGAAATCAGCGGACCCAAACACGGTGTATTGTTTGCAGGGTGAAAATTCAGCTCTAAAACAAGGGCGGCATTCTGTTTGAATCAGTTATTCCGCTACGAGACAGGGTTGCGAGCCTGTCAGAGGATTTGACGTCTTCATCGTCTCAGAGCCGACAGCTGAGTACTAGCAGTCGATTTCCCTGGCCAGCGGTCACCACAGAGGCGTCCTGCCGCCACCCGGATCCACCCCCTGGCCGGGGGTCATGTCCTACCTCCGCGGCCGCCACCACACAATGTTCCTAGCCGATGTAGCAGCGTCGACGGCCCCGGAGCGGGCTGGCCCGGCCGAGTTTTTAACGTGTGGTAGGCGCCGCGCGCCGCGCCACCGCCAACGCCTCAGTGTGTATGTCTGTGCGTGTGTGTGGAGTGTATATTGGAGCGAGAGACAAAATACATCGTATTATCTCATACTCGGCGCTGTGTTTGGTCGAACTAAGAGCTGGTGGAATTGGAACGTCTGCTGCACGACCTACATCTGAGTGCACGTGCCGTGTCAAATACCAGCTTTCGCCATCCTCACACTAGCAGTGACATCAGACTCATTATATTGCGATGGATGATAAATGTACAGAGATAGCAACTAGCGGCCGGCGCGTCGGACACGCACAAACCACCACTCGAAGACCGTGCAAAAAAAAAAAAAAAAACGAACGAAAGTGAGCGTCGCTGCAGCCTTGGCTATGGACTAGATGAGTAAAAGCCACCATTAGAGCGCCTGTCGCGAGCCGCGGTCGGTGGCGGTCGCGGGCGTGCGGCGCTCGGCTCCCCCCGTCCGGTACGTACTCAGCCACACGTAACGACGAACCCGGACCCTGGCTCACATACAGTCATTCGCACACACCACACGGCGCCTCTGTGACCGGCTGCCACCCGGCCGCCGCTTACCCAGTCACTACCACAATATCGCCCCACCCCCACCCTCCCCGCGATACCCAACTATTATCGTCAGCACAACCGATCCATACGCCAACTGCTGCTAGCGACGCGTCACCGCCCGAACCACCGCCGGGTGTCCCTTCGTCACGGACCGGGGCCGTCACGGCACACCCACCGTCACGTCACGTCACGTAACGGCGCGCTGCCGACGCTATCACAACTCGCCGTTCCCGCTGTCATCGCCGTTGTCCAGTTCGTCTGTAACGTGAGAGGACGCGCGTTACGGGCGGCTGGCCAGGGAGAAAGGCGGTCCGAACGGAGCTCCCAGCCGTGTGTGACAGGTCGTTTATCATGTGGCAGTTGTCACTGCTAACTTAAGCTTAAGTTGGAATCAAATTAAAGCGATGAGATCTGGCACGTTACTCTCGTGTAAACACTCCTTCCAACGTGATTGAATATCATAACAGTCGTCTTCCTAAAGCGTGACGCTATAACAGCTTCAATCAATGGGTCGGGGAGCACACATAGCAATACGAGCCAGAAACTACGTCGAACGCCAGATCAGCTCCGGGGTCAACGAATGAAGCATTTTCGTCAACACCAGTAGCTTTTTCGTAAACAGTACAAAACTCTCTGACCGGAGCTACCGATATTAGCTAATTCGGTCAATAAAGGACCAATGAAGGAGGAAGGGGACGGGTGAAGGGTTAAATTACAGCGACTGACACTCTAGGAAGCCAGGGGAGATGAAAAGTGAATATCAAGACGGACGTCCCAGTCAAAAATACGCTTTCTATCAGCACGACTTGTTATGCCAGTACTTCATCTTTTTTAGCATTCTGTAACTGTTAAAAATAAGTCAACAACGGACAAAAACAATCAGCGAATGACCGAGGCATAAATCACCTTCTGAGAATTACCTACTCTCATGGCCGTGTTGTCTTTAATAATTCATCCTGGCGGGATAAGCTCAATACCGGCTAGTTTGCCTCTAATTAATCTCCCTGTCTAATGACATTAGTCAGATCTCACCATCAAGCCAGCCAGCTACCCGTGGCAGACACTGATACGGCCAGTACACGTGTCGCAGTTCCGTCCGCCGAACTGTAAATAACTGCCCCAAGGCCAGTGCGCACCCACGGAATGCCCGAGCTACCGTCAACACTGCCTGTCGCCTATCGTAACGGTGGCGACTAGGCGACTCATATGGCACCGAGTCAGGCTCGGGGCGCCCGTCATCAACTCACCGTCATCACACGAGTCGTCGTCGTCGTCATCCAGGTAGTCGTCGTCGTAAAAGTCTGTGATGTCGACCGGGTCGGGTGGCGGCCGCGCCTTGGGCTTGACGCAGTACTCCTCCAGGGTGAGGGGTACCACCACATTGTCACGCTCGGCCTCCTTCCGAGACGCCGAGATCTGCTTCCTGGGGGAGAACCGGCAGCGGAAGGGATTAGTTACGGAGGTTATATAATGAAAATAGGCGAAGCAGTGGCTTTGATTGGTATCTCATGCGAAGCAGGGTCCTATATTGGGAATGGGAAAGTTGATGGTTTTAATTGCAGTATTAATTATCACTGATAACTCATTAAATTGTGCACGCCACGCACACAGCCGAATCCTGTTTGACACAGACATTTTATGAAAAAGTAACGCGACATGTCTGAAGCAACACACCGAAAGGAACAAGCCTGGCTGCAAGGAAACAAGGTGAAATGCGCACAATAGTGCACGCGTCACATGCTAGGTTGGCAGTGAAACAGGATCATTTTCATCAACCCCAAAACACCGGAGCAATAGCTGATCACCACGGCCTATTAATTCTGTCCCGGCTTCCCTCAGCGCCTCCCCGCCCGCACTGCCAGTGACAGTGACACCACCACCGACACCGCTGTGTACGCAGTACGGGGCGCCGTCCGACTGCGCGGCTGGCTGATAGCATCTCAGCAGCCCGACCACACTGACCGCCGAGTCAGCACCGTCCGGCGCCGACACCGCCGACCGGCCCTGTATGTAACCGGTCAGGACACGGGCACCGGCCAGCATACTGGCGTAATGACGATAACACGGGTAGGGGGTCTGCCGCGGCTACAGTCAATGGGGAGATGGGACATTGAAGAACATTGGTCATACGCGGAGATGCAGCCACCCTTTCACGGCCGTGTTTCATTGCAGCTCGCACGGTGTTCTCAATTTCAAGTTACAACTCAAAATGGATGTGAGCGGGACAGAGCAGGTTCCCAGGGCACCGTTGCGTACCACCCCCAACCCATTTCACGAGCAACCCCTCCCTCGTAAAGACCGGCGCCTCACCTAATGATGTTCTCGTACTCCTTGTCCTTGCCCTTGGACTCCTTCCAGCGTCTGTACATGACGGAGGCGTCCACGTTGGCCGGACTGAAGGTGTTGGGCTCGTTCAGGAGCGATATCACCGACAACAGGATCGTCCTGGGATAGACACAGTCACAAAACGTCAGGTCAGTAGACAGGGCTGTTATAAAACAGTCAAGTGATCGAATGTTTTATCACAGTGAGCAGAGTATCATAGGCCGGAACAGTTATGAGATATCACATCATCGACAGCAGAAACATGAAAAACATGACAGTGCCTAACATTTCATTGAAGGAGATACAGCTCTAACCTAATATGCGTATTTCCAGCGCTCTTGACCGGTAGGGCCAGGTGTTGGTGATTGGTGAATGGCCATCGCCTGACATTCTGCAAATAATGCCGACCCTACCCAGACGTTCTGTGTGGGGTTGTAAGCCTTTGACGTTCTGTGGGGTTGCTACGGGTTGCTAACGGTCCTCCGACATTCTGTGCGGTGTTTAATTCCTTACCTGACGTTCTATGTTGGGTAATCTTCTTCCCCTGATAGCCCGTGAAGCGTTCAGGTCATCATACGTGAAGGGTAGTGTTAATGGTATAACGACCACTTGACGATTTGTTTTTCCCTGGCCTTCCCCGTGGGGTTATATTTCTCAGCTAGCGTTCTGTGATGGGATAGATTGCTGACGTGACGTTGTGTGGGATAAGATTGCTCGCTTGACCTTCCGCGTGGGGTCACACATTTCTCACCTCACGTTCTGCGTGAGGTAAGATTTCTCACCTGACGTTCTGTGTGGGGTAAGATTTCTCACCTGACGTTCTGCGTGGGATTCCAGCGCTCGCAGGGCAGCTCGCCGCTCTGCGGGTCGTCAATGGGCGCGTGCAAGATGCTAATGCAGAGGTCACCGTTCTGGAACGGTGACAGTGAAACCGTGAACGGCTACACAGTGACGAATCACCGCCGTCAGAGGTGGC